TCACTAGTTTGGTGAAGGAAGAAGCAATTAGGAAAGCCATGTCCTGGGCTCAAATCCCCTGTAAGTAATCTCACCTAACACCATTGGTCAGCAGTGCACCACACCCTGTGGGAATCAAGGTCGCCATGGGAGAAATCTATGCACTTAGCAAACCAGTCTTGATTTTGTTAGGAAAATGTCTCCCAGAGAGACAAAGGAACACCTAGTATGACCCTGAGATAGACACAAGTACCTTCATTTTGCACATGAAAATTGAGGCTCAAAGAAGTATATTATTAAGCCTGCATATCCAGGTAATTAAGTTTGGAACATATTTGACAACACAGCCTAGAATTTCTCCTCTCTTAGCCGTTTACCTTACATCTCAGATCCTGAACCTATTTAATACATACTTTAGGAGCATCAGGTGGAAAAATCTGACCTAGCAATTGCACAGCTGTTGTCTCCGGTTTAGCTGCATATTTAAAACAAAGTAGCTGTGAATCTAATGGGAATGTGGTTAGGAGTGGAAAGCCTCCCATTTTCAACCTGCCTCTGCCTCGGGCTTAATTTGTGGCTCAGATGGTAAATAATCTGTTTACAATGTGGGAGACCCAAGTTTGATCCCCGGGTGGGAAAGATCCCCTGGAGAAAGGGAATGGCTACCCTAGTATTCTTGCCTGGAGAATTCCATGAACAGAGAAGCCTGGCAGGCTGCTGTCCATGATATCCCAAAGAACTGGACACGACTGAGGGACTAACACTCTGCCTCCCTAATCCATACAAGCTGGCCTACAACCCATTGATATCGATACCACTATGTAAACTACCAATATTTTGTTACTAATATTTGAAGGCCCAGTAGGGATTTTACTTTTAAGTAGCTATTTTTGAATGCTTCAGAGTGTACTAAAATGTAGAGACATCACTTTGCCAACAAAGGTCTGTATGGTCAAAGCTATGGTTTTTCCAGTAGTCCTGTACAGATGTGCAAGTTGGACCATAAAGAAAGCTGAGCATCGAAGAATTGATGCTTTTGAACTGTGGTGTTGAAGACTCTTGAGAGTACCTTGGACTGCAAGGAGATCAAACCAGTCCATCCTAAAGGAAATCAGTCCTGAATATTCACTGGAAGGACTGATGCTGAAGCTGAAGCTCCAATACTCTGGCCACCTGATGTGAAGAACTGACTCATTGGAAATAAGACCCTGATGCTGGAAAAGATTGAAGGTGGAAAAAGGGGACAACAGAGGATGAGATGGTTGAATGGCATCAGTGACTTAATGGACATGAGTTTGAGCAAACTCTGGGAGTTGGTGATGGACAAGGAAGCCTGGTGTGCTGTAGTCCATGGGGTCGCAGAGTTGGACATGACAGAGTAACTTTAACAACAACTGTCTATTTATGTGTATTTTCTCATTTGTCCTTTTAAAGTCCTCTGAGGTAGTGGGCTGATGTTTATTACGCTTAGTTCATTCATGTTATGTGAGTTACTGAAGGTCTCAGAATTTCTCTTTATTTTTAGGGGAAAAATGTTGTTTCCTTTGGGGAAGAAGGAAAAAAATCTTACCTGGAAGAGTTTAAATTTAAAGTCGTTCAGTCGTGTCTGACTCTTTGTGACCCCGTGAACTATACAGTCTATGAAATTCTCCAGGCCAGAACACTGGAGTGGGTAACCTTTCCCCTCTTGCAGATGAGAATTAATGACCAAAGAGCTTAAGCAAGCATGTTTCAGTTCAGTTGCTTAGTCGTGTCCAACTCTTTGTGACCTCATGAATCGCAGTATGCCAGGCCTCCCTGTCCATCACCAACTTCCGGAGTTTACTCAAACTCATGTCCATCAAGTCGCTGATGCCATCCAGCCACCTCATCCTCTGTCGTCCCCTTCTCCTCCTGCCCTCAATCTTTCCCAGCATCAGGGTCTTTTCCAATAAGTCAGCTCTTCACATCAGGTGGCCAAAGTATTGGAATTTCAGCTTCAGCATCAGTCTTTCCAATGAACACCCAGGACTGATCTCCTTTAGGATGGACTAGTTGGATCTCCTTGCAGTCCAAGGGACTCTCTAAGTCTCCTCCAACACCACAGTTCAAAAGCATCAATTTTTCGGCGCTCAGCTTTCTTCACAGTCCAACTCTCACATCCACACATGACCACTGGAAAAACCATAGCCTTGACTAGATGGACCTTTGTTGGCAAAGTAATGTCTCTGCTTTTTAATACACTCCCTAGGTTGGTCATAACTTTCCTTCCAAGGAATAAGTGTCTTTTAATTTCATGGCTGCAATCACCATCTGCAGTGATTTTGGAGCCCCCAAAAATAAAGTCTGACAGTTTCCCCATCTATTTGCCATGAAGTGATGGGACCAGATGCCATGATTAGTTTTCTGAATGTTAAGCTTTAAGCCAACTTTTTCACTCTCCTCTTTCACTTTCACTAACAGGCTTTTTAGTTCTTCTTCACTTTCTGCCATCAGGGTGTCATCTGCATATCTGAGGTTATATCAATTTCTACCGGCAATCTTGATCCTACCTTGTGCTTCTTCCAGCCCAGCGTTTCTCATGATGTACTCTGCATATGTTAAATAAGCAGGGTGACAATATACAGCCTTGACATACTCCTTTTCCTATTTGGAACCAGTCTGTTGTTCCATGTCCAGTTCTAACTATTGCTTCCTGACCTGCATATAGGTTTCTCAAGAGGCAGGTCAGATGGTCTGGTATTCCCATCTCTTTCAGAATTTTCCAGTTTATTGTGATCCACACAGTCAAAGGCTTTGGCATAGTCAATAAAGAAGAAATAGATGTTTTTCTGAACTCTCTTGCTTTTTCGATGACCCAGCAGATGTTGGCAATTTGATCTCTGGCTCCTCTGCCTTTTCTAAAACCAGCTTGAACATCTGGAAGCTCACGGTTCACCTATTGCTGAAGCCTGGCTTGGATAATTTTGAGCATTACTTTACTAGCGTGTGAGATGAGTGCAATTGTGTGGTAGTTTGAGCATTCGCCTAACCAACCAGCTGTGGAACTTAAGACTAAAAACCCAGTTAGTTCACTGCATTTCAGGGTAGGGAAGCCTGGTGTGCTGCAGTCCATGGGGTGACAGAGTCCCACAAAATTTAGTGACTTAACAAAGGAATTAAGATAATAGCAGTTCCTGAATTTTAAGTGCCGCGTTTTAGCTATATTTCAAGCCCTATGTATTATTGCTTATGGCTTAAATGTAATTATACTTATGTGATGACAACTGCTAAACCATCAGTGACCCTGGCATGTGCTGGTTACATTTCAGAACTGTATGCAAGTTGTATCTTTTGATTTATGAAGGCACATTTTGCTTAACAACCTACTCTTTAGCCATTAATGATCTTAACTGCCACTGTAGTTTTAGAACTTCCTAGTGCAGAGAATGCTGAAAATTGGGCTAGAGTGCAAGTCAGTAGCTCACTGCCAGGCCGATTTCCTACCAACTTCTTAACACCAGCTTCTCTAGGAAAGGTTAGATCACTGCTGGCCTCAGGAATAGAACTGTAAGATTCTTTTTATGCAATGAAATTTTGTTTTCCCAAGCTAGTTAGTTTAAAAGTTGATCTGGCACAATGTTGTTATAAATGGGTTAGCATAGGTTACCTTAGCATCTTTGCTAAACCTTAGTATTATTAACACCTCTCCAGGTTCTACTCCACTAAAATCCCTTTTCAAAACCTGGTGTTTTGGGAGACCTGCTAGAAGGAAAAAAACAGAATCAAAAGTACTTGGATGTTGCAGAAGTGTTTAGGGATGAGAATTCCAATATCAGAATGACTGTGCAGCATGTGTTGGACATGGGTTGAAAACAGGCTAAAAACAAGGTGTCAACTTGTCAACTTCCAGTTATGAGGTTCTGGCATCTGGTACATAATTGGATACACAGAGAAACCTGAACAGTTTAAACATACATGCTAACTGAAGTCACTGAACAAGGTAATCCAAAGTGGACTGGGCTCCTGGGAGGAAAGGCAGGAATTTCATTATTGCAATCCTAAGAATGGCAAATTTTATTATTTGTAAAATGCTTATATACCTGTCATATACTTTTGTGGAACAGACATACATTTGTTTAGGATAACCACCTAATTTAAACAATTATAAACAGCAAAGACTTCAACCCTTCAATGGGGCATCAAGATGGATCCTCAACCCAGGGGCACACTAAAATTCAGCTGTGCTATTAAGGCTCAGAACATTAGGCAAATTAAAACTCAAAAACCAATTTTTATGTCTACACAATGGGAACACAATGTATAAGCAGGGTCCTGGAGCTTGGCAGTGTTATCCAGTATCATGCCAATGGAGGTTTGGATAAATGGAATCTGACCTAAGATGTCTTTTTCAGCCCTAAACATATAAATGCTTAACTTAGCTTCATACTGAATGACCTATACATATTAACTGAAAAGTGATTCCAAGGAGTATATATAAAACATTTATCTATAGATACAACCTAAATCTGAGTACTAGGATTGTTTTATATTTTATTGTATATTTTCTCATCTAAAATATAATTAAGGCACCAGTATCTATAAAAGTTTCCACAACTTACTAAAATTTGCCAAGTTTAAAAGGAGTTATGACAAATGGGCAGTCAGGGCTAGATATTAAGATCTAGCTTCTGAGTTCCTTGCCTTTTATCACACTAGGTTTCTAACCACAGCTGGTCACACTAGAATCATCCCAGGCACCTCTGACAATTCCAAAGTTAAACTCACACACATGTTCAAAAATCCCAATATTCATCAACAGCTCATGTGGAAGCTAACAAAATTCTGTTCTCAAATGCTGTCATGTGTAAACTAGCTTACTGGTGCCTGGAAAACAAAGGAAACAGGGTCAACCAACACAGGCTATCCATGTAATTCTGATTATTCTACTTAAAAAGTGGAATCAATTCCATAACACAACTCTATTCCTAAGACTTGTCAGTATTGTGAACAAAAGGCAACAAGATTTAACAACTGATTATCCATTTATTAAAAAGATTGATTTAGGCATCGGCAATGGTGACTTCCACTTCGACTCCTGGCTCAATACTGATGGAAGTGATCTGCTTGACAATTTCAGAAGGGCTGTGCAGGTCAATGAGTCGCTTGTGGATCCTCATTTGGAATCGATCCCAAGTCTTAGAACCTTCACCACAAGGAGTTTTCCTTGTAGTTATTCTCAGAGTCTGCAACAAGAAAAAATGGAAACCAAGCATTTATGGTCTGTTGTGCTTCCCTAGGACACTTATACAATCCTTACAGATTCCATTTGAAAACTTACCAGGGCCTCAGCCCACTTTATATAACTACTTCCCAGATACAGACAATTTTTAATAGCAATTCTATTTTCCCTCGGTCACAACAGGACCCTTGGTACTGTGACAAAGGCACACCAAACACCAGCAGCAAAAACCTTCAACCGTTTTACTTCCAGAAAATACATATTTAACACGAACCAGATTTTATCAGCATTTGACTCAGGATGTTTATTGTTAGCATCGGTACATAAGTCTTTTAGCAGCTAAATCCCTCACCCTAAAAAGCAAAAATGCATTCTGATACCCAAATGCACATCAGAATTATCTTCGAATTTTTTGAAAAATACAAATGCCCAGGTATCGCTATTTTTCGCCAATCTCCAGGTGTTTTTAACGAGCAGCCATGTTTAAAAGCAACTGGACTGTACCAGAACCGCTTACATTTACCAAGTTTGTTTCAGTTTCCTATTTCATATTCAGGGCTCCCATTTCACTTAGTTTATGTTTTCTAATTTCTCCATCTTCTCTCCAACTACCATTTTCCACCTCCTGCCCCGGACACTCTCTCACCTTGGTAGGCATCCGAACTGGTCCTTTCACTTTGAGATTCTTTTCCTTCGCGCCTCTGATCAAGTCAGCACACACTGCAGGGAAGTAAAAGCATCCTTCAGTTGGTTCCCTTATGGCACAAGAGCCGGCTCAAAGTTGAACCGCCGCGGGCTCAGAATAGCGTATAAAACGATCACAGTAAGTCAACACAGCAATTCTCTCCTCACCGCCAACACGGCACACACCGAGTGTGGACCACTCTTAACTGTTTTTTGAAAGAGGACGCTGGCCCCCGAGAGCCGACTCTGCGCCCAGGAACAAGCCCCGAGACCCCCAAATTCGCCGCACTGACCCTTCTCCAGAGACTTCACGTTGCGGCTGGTGAGGGTGATCCTAATCCGGTGAATGGCCACCTCTGGCTCCACGGGAGTCTTGCCGGTGTCTTTAAAGGCCTGTTATCACAAAGGTGGGAATAAAGAACCCTTAGGAAGCCTGTCAAGTCCGGGGCCCAGCGCGCTCGGAGCCTTCAGTTCCTGGCGGCATCTACAAGCCCATTCCCTGGACCAGCGAGTCCCGTTCCCTCCCTCTAACCCAGCGTTGCTCCAGGACGCGACACGGACGCCCCATACTCACCATGGCTGCGGCGCTGCTTCCTGACCGACTTGTTCCTCGGCGAGAGCGAACAGCGGTGAGTCAGGAACAGGAGCAGGCAGCACTGAGCTCCGCTGCAGCCGAGACCGCGTCTTCCTCAGAGAGGAAGGGGTGAGGCCTGCGGGGTGCATATATAGCCGCGCTCGTGTTTGCATCCGGGTCCCGCACGCCTCTCCGCGCTGCCCCGGAAGAGGAATCGTCAGGCGGGCTCTAAGGCGGCTGCGCGAGCCGGGGATGGGGCTCCCCTGAAGGGGCAGGCTAGGCGTGGCTGCGCGCGCCCCCTGTCGGCCAGGCGGAGTCTAAGCGCCGGGAAGTGCAGTCCCGGCGGCGCGGTCCTCGAGGGCACCTGGCGGAGGTGATGGGGAGATTACGACCTGACCTAAAACCCCACAAACTCCCCCGCTTGGTGCGCCGACCGCCGGCCTCCGTGCTTGTGGCTTCTACCCTGCAAAGTCCACTGCCCGTGGAAACCGAATCACTCGTGCTCTGTGAAGCGGTAGCTTTTCTGAGCACAACTCACGTGGATATCAGGGGAAATGACTGATCATGTTATTTTTTTTAATTAGCAGTTATTTTTCATAGCCTGGAACATCCTTTCGTGGTATTTCATCCTCTGGCTTCCCAGGCCAGCAGAAGCATCTGCAGAATGTTTCTAGAAACTGTGTGAGCGAAGTTCTTCCCTCCGGACCTAAGGGCAAACGCTCCCCACGCTGCCCGCTTATCTGGGGGCGTGTCGTGCATCCGAGGCCCCCGCCTGGACACCCAGGCCCTCCACCCGATTCAATTCAAAGGCGTGTTATCTCCTCTGTCGGGATAAAGTGAGGCTGGCCGAGATCCCTGAGGACCTCCCCAATACTGAGCGTCTGTTTGTTCATAGTCAGAATGGGACAGAGTAGAGTGGACACCCCGAGAGTAGTCGGCTGACCTGGTAGTCAGGACACACATGCTTACAGATGACGGAGTGGTTACGTAGAACGAAATGGGTGAGTTGGGTTTTGATACAGGGCAGAAGTGAGGGTCAATAAACTCCTATTATTTTGCAGGTGAACCTGAGTGCCTAAGAGTGATTCGCTCTGACTCAAATCTGATCCTTTCAGTTAGGGGCCTTTCTTGAGCCTTTCTCTTCTGTTCCTTGGAGGGAAATTATACTTGAAACAGATCGAATAATATCATTGACTTTTTCCTGGATCATCAGGCACAGCTAATACCTGGCTATCTTTGGCTCACAAAGAATATGTTCTAGATTTTGCTTCCATTTAACAAGCAATTTAAGTGTTAAAATTTGGACATTTTTCAGTTCAGTTATTTTAAAATGTCATCCGTTAGCTGTAAATACTTTATTAGTAGAAATTGCAGCAGAAAATCCAAAAACCTGCTTTCTTGTTTTACTAGTTGTAACCTAAACGAGACTTCATAACTTTGGGCTTTCATGTCTTGGCATGGCTCGTGCTCAGTCACTCAATTATGTCTGACTCTTTGTGACCTTGTGAACTGTAGCCCACCAAGTTCCTCTGTCCCTGGGATTCTCCAGGCAAGCATACTGGAATTCTCCAGGCTTGCCATTTCCTTCTCCAAGGGATCTTCCCAACCCAGGGATTGAACCAAAGTCTCCTGTGTCTCCTGCATTGGCAGGTGGGTTCTTTGCCATTAGCACCATCTGGGCATGGCTAACAGCCATAAATAGACAAAAATACAATTGCCTAAACTCCCCCGGTAGTGATCAACCACAACTGCATTAGTACTGAGTATGCATCTTCAGAGAAAGCTTACAGCAGCATTCAGGTTTTACTGGTGCTCAAAAGGGACATGAGTTTGCACAAACTCTGGGAGATGGTGAAGGACAGGGAAGCCTGGCGTGCTGAAGTCCATGGGGTTGCAAAGAGTTGGACGTGACAAGAGAGACTGAACAAACACATGCTCAAAAGACGGCTAGAAATTCAATGGTGGAGTGCTTGAGAAGTACATTTGTGATTGTGGTACATCTATTCTTAGACTTCCTGACTATAGAAAAAGAATTTAAGTATAGGAAAAGGCAAAATATGGCCCAGCATTTATGGGGAAAATTATTTGATGTGACTGGTACTAAGGAAATAGCTGGTTGAGATATTAGATGAATGCAGTGAAAAATATCAGTGTTTTGAAGTATAAGGTTTAGTTTCAAACATTTTGTTGTATTTTTCTCTCAAAAGTTATCAACTGCTGCGGTACCCAAATTTGTATTAAAGTTGTAATATTCTAATATTAGTTAGATGTTCATTGAAGAAAAAGTAAAGATTAATGATAAGCACAAAGAAGAATAAAATACAGAATGCTACGTTCAGAGATAGACCACCTATTTACACCCTCAGCTGTGTGTATAGCCCTTTAAAATGTGGGCTCGAAGTGACAACCCACTCCAGTACTCTTGCCTGAAAAATTCCATGGACTGAGGAGCCTGGTAGACTACAGTCCATGGGGTCACAAAGAGTCGGACACGACTGAGCGAATTCACTTCACTTCACTGCATATACAGTTCAGTAATCTTTATCCACAGAATATTTTGTCACAATAATTATACTTCTGCAACATTCCTTTTAACAACTGTCTTGTATGGGTGAGTCATTCATCATTTATACAGCTAGTCCTCTGTTTTGGACACTTAAGGTGTTTTCACTGCTTCACTCTTACAAAAACAGTACACGAGGCACATGCTTCTAGTCCAGGTGTCTCAATCCCAGCACAGTTGACATTTGGGGCCACCTGAATCTCTGTTGAGGGGGGCTGTCCTGTGTGTTGTAGGATGTCTAGGGTTATCCTGGCCTCTGCCCACTGGATGCCTGTCCCAGCCTCTCCCCTCCAGTTGTGACAAACACGTCCCTAGATATCGTCAAATGTCCCCCATGGGACAAAACTGCCCCAAAATGAGAACCACTGCTATAGACAGATTTGTTAGCTCAGGCTTAATATCTTAAATCAATGACTAGGTATATTTATTTTTTGATGGCTTCATCAAAGAAAAACATATTTTAAATACTTTGGCATTAAGTAAATGGCCCTCTGGGAAGGTTATATCCCAGTAGATACTTCTTCTGGCAGTGTGACAAAGATTTTTGTGTGAAGAATAGAATTAAATTTTTGTCTCAAGTGTAAAAATATTCTTTAAAAATTTTTATTGCAGTATAGTTGATTTAGAATGTGGTGTTAATTTCTGCTGTATAGCAAAGTGATTCAGTTGTATACATATATATTCTTTTTCATATTCTTTTCCATTATGGTTTATCACAGGATATTGATTGAAATTCCCTGTGCTATATAACGGGACCTCATTGTTTATTCATCTACATATCAGTTTGCTAATCCCAAACTCCCAGTCCATCCCTCCCCACCCCACTTCTCCCTTGGCAACCAAGTCTGTTAAAAAGTATTCATAAGACCGTTTCAAAGTCTGTGTTTTCAGTATGACATCCATAGCTTTCTTGCACTAGTTTTTGCAGTTCTTTGGAAACTATCTTGTAAAGCCTTTTCCTGCAGGTATTTGTGTGTTTTTGTGAACAGCCATCTGCTGGTCTTTCACTGCAATGACAGTGTCATCAAACTACCTCCAAAAGGAAGTTAACAAGAGTTCAAAACAGCTCAGTTCATGGTGCCCATGTGTACGTGTGGAAAGAAAATAATAAAAATAGGTTGTCGAATGTGGATGACTCTGCTTAGACACTATTTTATTTAATTTTTGATCTAAATTGCAGTGAAAACTCCTCACTCTGAAATTTCAGAATAGAAACCAGAAAGAGAAAGAATAAAAACTTGGTCTCGTGTCCACCTATGTTGTGTGGAAAGGAGGCTCCCGCTTTACTAGGATTACAGGTGGGGATCAGAGCACCTAATGTGTGCTGTCACCTACATGATAGTAGCCAACACTGTTGGAAATGGACTACCTGTGTGAATATCCATTTGTTTGATCCTCATGTCAACCTTGGATTCATATTCTATATATATATGAGAAAGCTGAGCTTAGGTGACCTGCCCAAGGTCACAGGAAAAGCCACTGCCTGAACCCACGCTGTCTAGTTTGAACTCAGAGGCTGCATCTTGGCCACTACCCTGTACTATTTCTCTTTGTGCGTGTGTGCCAAATAGCTTCAGTTGTGTTCAACTCTGTGCGACCGCATGGACTGTAGCCCACCAGGCTCCTCTGTCCATGGGATTTCCCAGGCAGGAATACTGGAGTGGGTTGCCTTGCTCTCCTCCAGTGGATCTTCCTGACCCAGGGATCAAACCTGCGTTGTTACGTGTAACCTGCATTGGCAGGCACCTGGGAAGCCCTGTTTCTCAGTGTACGTTAGTCTAATCTTCATCACTAGTAGCATTAGAGTGTCTGAGAGGTTAAAATCCTCTTACGTTAAAGAAAATGACATAGAAGGGCTTTGTAGATTTCACTCTAGTTGAGGTCAGAAATTTCACTGAGCTACTCATATGTGTCCATTTTAAGATCAGTTCAGTTCAGTCACTCAGTCGTGACCGACTCTTTGCGACCCCATGGACTGCAGCACGCCAGGCTTCCGTGTCCATCACCAACTCCTGGAGCTTGCTCAAACTCATGTCCATCGAGTTGGTGATCCTTGGTGATGCCATCCAACCATCTCATCCTTTGTTGTCCCTTTCTTCTCCTGCCTTCAATCTTTCCCAGCATCAGGGTCTTTTCCAGTGAGTCAGTTCTTCACATCAGGTGGCCTGGTATTGCAGCTTCAGCTTCAGCATCAGTCCTTCCCATGAATATTCAGGACTGATTTCCTTGAGGATTGACTGGTTTGATCTCCTTGTAGAGATCCATTTTATGGTAGACTCTACATTTAAAACATTTTTGTATTGGAGTAGAATTAATTTACAATGTTAGCTTCCACTGTATAGCAAAGTGAATAAATTATACATTTACATATATCTACTCTCTGAGGTCCTTTCCCCATGTAGGTCGTCACAGACTATTGGGTGGAGTTCTCTGTCCTCTA